GTATATATTGTCACAAAAATATCAGAGCGCAAAAGCGAAAAAAACAGAAAGAAAACAAGTAAATAATGAATTCGTTTTTTATATGTAAGTCTATACGTAAGCAAACATATACATCACTGTATATCCCTCCCCTCTATATCTACCGCTCCTCACCTTTCCTCTTACTTACGCATGTCTAATCCATACGGAGATGAAGACCTTTCAATCTTCCAATTCATACGGAAGTCACCTCTCCTCTTACTTACGCATGTGTACTCCACACAGAGATGTGACCCTTCAACCTTCCAATTCGCACGGAAGTAAGCGCCAGAGTTCATGCCACCCATTAATCAATCAATTGATCAATCAGAAACATAAAACAAAAAAAAACAAAAAAAATCATACATATAGCATCAACCCGCCCTTCAACATCTCCCAAGTATACATCACTACCGTCTTTCCCCCGAACATAACGCACCCTGGATAATGAACGTATGCAAGCTACCTTTACGGTTCGGTACGGCCAAAATGAGGGTGCGTTGTGTTCGAGGGAAGACATATTGCATATAAACCCTCCATCACTATCGTTGAGTATTTGCCAACATATATCAATCATGCAATCAATCGATCAATCCCAAGGAATCAATCAATCAATCAATCAATGATCAAATCAATCAATCAATGATCAAATCAATCAGATCAATCAATCGATCTATTAAACAATTAACCAATTAATCAATCACCTCACGTACTTACTAAGGCAATCAATCAATTACGGGCATATGCATCAAAACAACACTGTTCCCCTACATGCTTTACACGTGTACACCGAATGCGCACGTTTACAGTAGATCACTTAACTAATTAATCATTAATTAATTATAATTGGGAGGAGAAGAAGGAACGAACGGACATTCATTGGGCCCGTACTGACCTTCCTGTACTTCTTCGCCGCCGGCTCTCTCTCCAAAGACCTGCCCAAACTTCCATTCTAGAGGAGGAGGGGGTATCAAATGAGAGGACTCACTCCCTGACGACGGCCCCCCTCCACTAGATTCTATGCGGTCTTCAGCAGCCCCGCCTGAAGCCCCACCCACGCCGACACCATTCATCATCCTCTAGAAGACGCTCTCTCGATTTCCTTTTCCCACCTTCTCCACGGACCCCTGTTATCTTTCAATACCCAGGTCCCCGCTCTCTCTCTCTCGCTCCCTCCACCCTCCCTCTCTAGCTGCACTCTCCTCCCCTCCTCCCTCCTCACAATGCCCTCTCTCTCTTCCTTCGCCCTCTCTTCTACTTCCCTCTCCCTCCCCCTCTCCCCCACCTTCTCTCTCAGTTCTCCCCACAGTCGCATCCTCTCTCAATTCCAGTCACAAACAACGATTACACCACTCCTCTCCTCGCCTCCCTTCTCCTCTCCCCTCCCTCCCCCTCCCGATCCGTTTTCCTCCTTTCTTCCACCGTTTCCCCTCCCCTTTCTCCCTCGCCTCGCTCAACCCAGCGATATCGCAATGCTCTCCTCTCCCCTCCCC